TATTTTATGTGTATGAGTGTATTGCCTGCATGTATGTGAGTGCACCGTGCTATGCAATGCCGCGGAGGTCAGAAGAGGGCTTCGGATTCCCCCGGAACTGGAGTTAAGGACGGTTCGTAGCCGTCATGTGGGTGCTGGGAATCGAACCCAGGTCCTCTGCAAGAGAAGTCAGCGCTCTTAACCGCTGAGCCATCTCTCCAGCCCCTATTTTTTAATTTTTTAAAGTCAGCATATATTGTGTTAGATACCATCACGATCTTGTCAAACAATGTATGTCTGTCCTCCTATGTCCCCCATCCCTGCCTCCCCGTCCACCCCTGCAGCCTGCAAACAAGCTTCTTTTCTCCTTTCATCTTTGGCCCACCTGCCCCACCCTTCAGCACCTAATCTCACCCTTTACTGGTCTCCTAGTTTTAGACTCTACCCACACTGTTTGTGTATACACACACACACTAGGCTAGAATTCACCTATGAGGGAGAATACTTTTTTTTCTCTTTCAAGTTTGGGTGACCTCACATAATATTATACTTTCCAGATCCATCCATTTCCATGCAAATCTCATGATTTCATTTTTCTTTAAGGAAAAATCTTGACCTCATAACATTTTACTCTTTTTGTTGCTTGTTGCTGGTTTATTCTGTCTTTCTCTCCCCACCCATTTTATATTTTGAGTAGGCAATACATGCACACAGTTCAAAATTCCCATTATTTCTCTCTGTGAAAACATTCAACAAGTAGGTGGCCTTTGGAAATGTACGGTGCAGGTTTAAGGATTCTCAAATCCACTCCTGGAGGTCAAACAGCTTACTTACTTTGTGGTTTCTCCCGTGCTTGTCTAAGAGTGAGATGATGGACTTGATGTGCCCTTCTTTAATAATGTTCAGAGCCTCAGGACTTTCCACCAACACACAGTGCAGGACTTCCAAAATGCCTGCAGACCAAAGAAAGACAGGAAGGACCATTCAGTTATAGGAGCCAGTTTCCTCTCGTTTTGCCCAACTGTGTTCAACTGCTCAATATATCCTGTGCTCGGTGCCACTGGGCACTGTGAGAAGGGACAGGTGGTATGGGTTAGAGGGAACTGATGTCCAAGGATGGTGAAATCACAGCAGAAAAAAGTTCAGAGTTGGTCTGAGGAAGCTGGTTATTCTGCCAGGGGAGGTGTGTGAGGCTATAGCATTTGCAGTGGGCCTCAGAGAACTCATCCCTCTCCAGATGTCGACGGAGAGCAGGTAGCCATGAAGGCTTCAGTGGCTGGCACATCGGGTATGCCAGGGTCAAAGCAAGCACAGGATGGGACTGGCAGCCTAGGGCATCTTCTGGCCTTCTTGGCATTAAAAAATAATCCTGGGTAGGTAAGAGGGATCAGTGAGTAAAGGCACTGGCAGCCAAGTCTGACAACCTGAGTTCGATCCCTGAGGGCCACATGGTAAAAGGAGAGAACTAACTCATGTCAGTTGCCCTCCGACCTCCACATGAGCCATGTGTCACATGTGCATACACACAAATGCACATCAAAAATACAGTATTTGCATCATGATAGTAACAATAATAATGATCCTGCAGTTACACATCCTAATCTAAGGAGATCATGCAAGTCTCTTTGATATTTATAATAGAAAGTGTCTGTTCATTTGAAAAACAAAAGATCATACAAAATAACACATAAGATACATATTATATAACCACCAGAGAAGATTAAAGTCAAACATGGCTTTTCTTGTCTTAAGGTTCAAAAAGAATGAAGGGAACATAAATTTTATTGTCAGAATGCTTAGGGTATATTTCCAAAGTTAACTGTATATACCATGTTACCTTTTTCATGATTGCCTTGTCAATGGGCTGGAAAGATGGCTCAGTGGGTAAACACACTTGTCACCTAGCCAGATGACCTGAGTGAGAGCCCCAGAAACCCGCACTGTGGAAGTGAGACCTGACCCCAGCAAGCGTACTGTGACATGGCCCCCAACACAAATAAATAAATGCAATTGTTAAATTTAAAAAGAAATAACTCGGCCATTCACTATTGGTCTGTCACTAAGGACAGTGCCAGCAGTCCCTAACGATGGTACTCACCACCCTGGGTACTTGATCTCCCTCAATCTCTCTAAGAATCATCCATCTGGATTTGGGAAGAACTTCCCAAAGCCTGTAGAGAAATTCATATATCCCAAATAGAATCTACTTTCTTGGGGGAAGGAATGCAAAATGTCAGGTTAACAGAAGAGAATCCAGGACTGAATCTCTAAAGTCACAGCCATGCTTGACCCCAACCCCCATCTGCTGATGCCTTGATCTGGTGAAAGATCAAAGAACATGCAAGTCTTGAGCTACTGCAGCTGCGGCGAAATAACCTGCTGACAATGTTACAGAAGACAGAAGTTGCTGAAACAGAGATGTGGACATCAGAGGATGGAGAGCCCTCACTTCCTTCATCATTACTGAAAATGTTGGTAAGTGACTGAGTGTGGTGGTGCACACCCTTAATCCTGCACTCGAGGAGGGCCATCTCTGCCTGGTCTACATAGTGAGTTCCAGGCCAACTGGAGCTACAGGGAGACCCCGTCGAAAGAAAGAAAGGAGGGAGGGAGGGAGGGGGGA